AATGATTGATCATTTATTTTGACAACTGCTGATTGTGAAAGCATTTGGGGGTAACCGCTGGAGGTTTCCTCTGTGGTGATTTATGACATTTACATTACTGTTTGCGGTATAAAAGAACGAGAAGAGAAAAGAAGAAAAATAGAATTAAGAACAAACAACAGCAACAACAACAACAACAACAACAACAACAACAACAACAACAACAACAACAGAAGCAAAAAGCTGCCTGGAGCTGAGGGCACAGTGAACATACTTACTGAACACAACACCCACCCACTCAAGCTGTCACCGAGGCCACTGCTTCTCCTTAATTCTTCAATGTCATGCAGTGTGTTAGTATATTTATATCATATTAGACTCATAAAAAGATAAAAGTACATAAATAAATAATGTTGTGCGTGTATTTTATCAGCTCTGTAGCAACTTCTGAGTCTCTCGTAACATCTGTGAAGATCTGAATGATTTTATCAGAAAGAGTGGCCCATTGTAAATTTTGTTCACAATAATTACGCTTTAAAATCTTTCGACTCTGAATTTGATTTGAATTTTCGAGATTGCAGATATGAGAGATGGAGCAGTATGCTTTCACGCGTCCTTAGGATTATTCAGAGAACCACGCTTCAGTGAGTTAGGTTTGGAATAAAACCAAGTCACATTAATGAAATTAGGCAAAACGTTTTTTCCCATTTGGCTTGTGTTCAAGACTCTCAGCTCATCTCGTGGTTTCGCTGTTCCTTTCTCGCTAAAGTGCAGGAAACCTTAAACAAACATTTCTAGCTAAGTGTCCCCTTTAGGAGAATGATGTTGCCCGTACGTGAAACATCACCGTCGGCGTTTTGCACCATGATTTCGTTTCTTCTTATTTGGGAAGCAGCCACCAATAAAAAAAAATATTGCCCTACCAAATTTCGGCAGCAGTCTGCATTTGTGCAAGTATGAACGCTTTTTTAAAATTGGAAATTTTAACCAGGTCTTGGAGAATCTGTCGAGCCTTCAGTTCCGGTTAATTATTAAAGTAAATTCTATTTTATTGATCAAAAAGTTCTAGACGTCCGCACTGGGAGACAGACAGATAGACAGACAGACAGACAGACAGACAGACAGGCAGACAGACAGATAGACAGACAGACAGACAGACAGACAAATGTGTGGATCATTGGAAGGTGTCTTCGGGGATTTCCGCATCATTCCTCTTCCTCTGGTGTGTCTGTCGGTGAGCGTGATTTGAGGGTGTTACTGAAAGTTCTAATAGTAATAGATAGCATTTGTATAGCGCATATCCCCGCTCAACAACAAGCTCTATGCACTTCATAATCTACACTATTACCCTATCAGACCTGGGAGCGTTCTGAAACAACCTCAACTTCCTGGGAAGCATACAGTGCAAGCGGCCATTTATAGGCGTTAAAACACTAACATACTGACAAAATCTTTCACTGTCTATGGCTGGGCACCCATTTCTACCTGGGTGAAGTGAGGAAAATTCGTGTAAAGTGTCTTTCTCAAGGACACAAAGTCGGGGGCGCGGCTCAAACCCCAGAACCCGCAACTACTTCTCTTCTATCCTTTTCTCTCTATCTGTCTGACTTATTCTCTTTCCCATACATATAATATATGTAGACAGACAGACAGACAGACAGACAGACAGACAGACAGACAGACAGACAGACAGACAGACAGACAGACAGGGAGATAGTCAAACAAGTAAAAATCACCTCAAAACACCACGTCAATATTACAGAGAATATTTACATACATGTACTTTAATTTCGTCAAAGGTCTTATGTTGTCCTCATATATACGCATAGCTGTCTACGCCTCAACAAACTCAAAACCCAGAATACACTTTGGAAATTGGACCAAAATCAAAACTTAAAATACACAATGGGAAACGAAATTATCAAGACCAAAACTCAAAATAACATATGTGTAAGCAACAAATACGAAATTTTTATGAAAAAAAAGCCCTCACAGTGAAAAGTTGGAGAAGCGAGAATCTCAGAGCAGCCATATCTCCATCACGTGACCGGGCTCAGCATTTGACAAGGTACCACGTGACCTTTCCGTCAGACACGTCATAGATGTCACGCGACGAGATCTCAGATGCCAGGAGAAAGTCGCTTTACACTTTATCATTGTTGGGAGAACTTACACACTTGTTCCTCTTTTTTCCCCTCTTTCTCTCTTTCTCACTTCCTCTCTTGCCTTCTTTATCTTTTTCCTTCTTTCTATTTCTTCCTCTCTTTTTTCTTTTTCCTTCTTCCTCCCTTTTTTCCGCTCTTTCCTTCTTCATCTCTTTCTTTCTTTCACGTTCTTTCTCTCTTTTCATCTGTCTGTCCTTCTATTGTTTTCGTTCGTTCTTTTTTTCCGTTCGTGCTTTTGATCTCAAAGCTTCGGAAATCAATATAAACGTTTTGGACATATTGCTCTCAAAGATAAAATATCAGACAACAAAGTTTTTTTCAAGACACTCAAGCAGAGAAATCAGAGGCGAAGCATTATCGTCGATGTCTGTTTCAGTTCTTGAAGACGACGACGACGACGACGATGATGATGATGATGATGATGATGATGATGATGATGATGATGATGATGATGATGATGATGATGATGATGATGATGATGATGATGATGATGA